CAATTACTCGATGAGTTATGTGTTTATTAATCAAAGTTAACTCAGGATTACGTTTCGTACTTTATTTTGAAACATTGTATTTGAGTTTTGGCCTACATTTAGTTCTGGAGTTAACATTGAAATGTTGTTTGTGCCCTTGGACCTGCAAGTGTGTTCAAGTGAATAACCTAACTTATATTGTTACATGAATTGGAGTTTGCATTGTTTTCGTGAAGTAACCTAAAAGAAACTGCTAAATGATAGATGCGATAGAACACATTACAACATTACATTGGTGTTAAATGTGGGATTATGTTGATGAAAACAAAATTAAACTTGACTCATCTTCAACATGAAAACAAAATACAAAAGCCAGATCGAAGAAAGAAATGTGAATTAAAAGAAAGAGATGTAGTAGTATCTAAAGAAGAATTAGAATTAAATCTGACTGAAGAAAAGACTGATGAAGCTAACGGAGATGTACAAAGGGATTATAACAACAAGATTAAAGACGTACAAAACACATCAAAGTACAGAAAGACTTTAATGATAAAATTAAAGAAGTACAAAAAGAGATCATTGAGTTATAAAAAGAGCACCAGTAACAGAATAAAACATCTAGAAAACAAATAGATAAATGCAAAGATTAAACCAGTCACATCTCTTTCTGCATCTATTCCAGAATTCCAACCTAAAATACCATCTACTACAAAATATGGAATAGCAGAACTTGTTTGGTCTACACCTATTACCACTACTGATGTGCAACCTGTCACTGCAGGAACTTCCTAGATTACTCCAGTCATGACGTTACTATATCCAATTGTTTGGTCTACACCTATTACCACTACTGATGTGCAACCTGTCACTGCAGGAACTTCCTAGATTACTCCAGTCATGACGTTACTATATCCAATTTCAGAATTTAGCTACTCAATTTAACAACATCACTTAATTGAAAAAACAACATACTATGATGTAAAGGTGCCAAGGAAAGTATATCAAGCACAGATTGAAATAATTTCCAAGGTGAACAGATAGAATAATGAACATCAAGCTATTAACCTTGCTGTTCATTTAAAAGGCCAACTTTAACGACATTAAGTGTCCTTCCAGCTGAGAGCTGTAACGTATATCAAGCATCGGTAGCTGCCTTATCCAAGAGGTTCAGAGTGACACACCAGAACAAAATATCTAAAACAAAGTTCTTTAACAGGGTACAGAGGAAAGAGACCTTAGCCAAACTTGCAGAAGGTTTGGAAAGGCTTGCCTAATTAGCTTTTCCGGATGCTCTTCTTGAAACAATGGATTTGTTGGCACTCGATTAATTTATAGATGTCATAACAGATAAATATATGAGAATTAGGAACAAACGTTTCGAACAATTTGTGTGCCAAACGTTTAGTACTACACGAATTGTCTATGAGCGGAATTATTTCCACTACTTAATCCTAGAATTACCGTGAACCCCAACGACGTTTTAACCACATGTTTCTAAACTATTTATGTACCAAAGGTCTATGACTTGGTTGTTTACAGGGTTGGTTAAATAGTCCCATAAATATCATCAATATTGCAAAAGACAAAATTACGAAACACTTTAGCTCGAGCGCTTTCGAAATGCGAACTTTTTAAATTCAAATGGAAATAATTACTTAAAGTGAAGTGTGAGAAAAGGTGGAGTGACGTCATAGTAAACCACCATGACTACCAGGAAGTGTTTTGATTAGCTTTTAAGGGATCACTGCAGGTAGAAAGGCACCTAACACAAAGGGAAGAGCACGTGCCCCTCACACTTTCTACAGTTAGTGTACTTACACTATTATTAATAATTATGTTAAATTGACTTAGCTTTTTTTGCGCCCTCCCCTCTCTTCCACTTTCCAAAAAAGTTAGACAGTCATGTGCCTCTAATACACATTGAAAATGATTTCAGAATTAAAGCTGATAGAAAAATTTAAAAATCATATTGGGTTGCCATTTTAAATACCGTTCAACCTTGTGGAGAAAACTATATCCTAAAATCAGCGATCTTCAGCCATTAATTAGTTCCTTATCTAACAACTAAAATATTTTTTGTGTATCATATGTGGTGTAACTCTTTCTTTTTATTTTTAAAATTTCTTAATTTCTATTATTTATTTATGACAATTTTTCATAATTTTTATATTCTATGTTATATTTAACATTTTCTTGTTAATTGATCCTCATATTACATTTTTATTTTACTTTATCAATACTCGATATATTTTCCCTTGAAATTATTTCTTTTTTTAAACAAAACCTTTCTAGCCTCTTTATCTTTGATATTTTGTTTTCCTGTTGTATTTATTGCAACAATCATTTGAAAACCAATCAAAATATTTCCGGATTGTCATTGTGTTACTCCACACTTTCTCATTCTTCACTTTTCCACTTTCCTTCAGATGGAGAAAGGTACACTTTTGGAAAGAGTTCGGGTTATAGATTTTCTTATTTTTGTCTTTAATTGATTTTTGAACCTAAGTTCTTTCCTAATATGATGACTCGACATTGCAGTTAATATCACTAAATACTACTGGTATCTCTAATGCATCTTACACAGAGAAAAATACTTTACCCAGTTTTTATCACGTTCTTTACACTGATAGTTTTAACATGCAAAAACATAAAATTATTTTTATGACACAATATGTGGAGCACAACAGTAATATCAGGTATAAAACAAGTGCGTTATTTAAAGATTGAAACGAAAATCCAAGGGTGTAAGAACGAGAAACTACTGAAGGAGTCCCTTTGGTTCTGTTCTTCACTCGATTAACAAGGAGTCTGCTAACTGGCTACGTTAAAAAATATAAATGAAAATATTCCAAAATAGCTTTCACTTCATAATACTTGTCTTATTGACACATAAAAATTCCGCTCCAGAATTACACATTCCTTCGCCTCAAATGTTTTAACAAATGTGCCATTCATCGAATGTTTGAGAATCATAACTTAAATCAATGCACTTTGAATGCGACATGTATTTAATCTTATAACCATAAGGGAGATATTTAGGAGTATCTCACTCGTAGCATAATGCAACGAACGCGGATGACCTCGTTCATATCTCGCGCACTGGAAAACGAGTCTCGAGACGTGTTTGATAGTGGTAGTGTAAGAGTTGTCTGCTCAAGGCCAAAGCTAAGCCAGAGACCACCTGCGGGGGAATACATAATAAAATAAATATAAATCGGACAAACAACACCACAGAAGTTGGCCATTTGTTGAAACATATAACGACATCGAAGTTTGCGTAGTGCACGATAAGATATAACTTTTAACACTGAAACGTGTATTAAAATAATACGTTCGTTTGTGTAATTACGTTTTGCTTTCGTAATATCAGTACAGTGTATATGTTTTAGACCTGGTGACTATGAATCGCTGATTAAACCTTTGCATATTTATACAATAATTGTCAAGTTTTGAATATGGGCTGGGATTCTTTTACAATAGGGGTCTGTGACTTGCTGGCGATAAATATCAACAATAAACGGACAGCATATATTCCTTTTTTAAAAATAATATATTCAAAACAAGTCAAACGTATGTACAAAAAATTCGTTTCACTATCGGTTATCAAAGTTGTATGTAAAGCTTTAAATAATTCTCTTTCTTGTCAAAAGTCCACACAGGCTAGTTCAGTTACTTTAGAACTCAACTGACAAGACGAATTATTTTTCTCTACTCTGTTTCTTACTGTACAGTCTGCGATAGATTCAATTTACAACGCTAGAAACCGGGTTTCGACACCCGTGGTAGGCAGAGCACAGATAGCCCATTGTGTAGCTTTGTGCTTAACTTCAAACAATACACTGTGGGTTACCACAGTTGTAATCAGAACTTTAATAATTGTCTCCTTTCGTCAAAGTCCACACAGGCGGGTCCAATTACTTTAGAACACCCTTTGACAAGACAAATTATTCTCCTTTATCTCTGTCATTACAATACCACTTTGAAACTTTAACTATTGCCCGTTATGGCTAAACTAACAATCAGCAGTCTCTTCTTGTTTCACATTCACTAACTTAACGTTTTCTAACTTAACCTGGGCTCACTTGGACACCTATATATATTGACCAACTGAAGCTTAGAACTTTCTACAAACTAAGATACACTATGTTGTAACAGTACTCACTTAAGGCAACGAGAAAAATATAGAAGGTTCGAGTAATGTGACGTCAAATTACAACAATTGAATTATACACACAACGCATGACTCTTACCGAATTACATAACAAAATTTGTCATAACTATCCTCTTTAAAATAATTACTTTTAACAGTTTTGTTATGAAAACTAAATAATCATTAAATAATTCTTACACTAAACAGTCTTGTATATCCAACAATAATGTTCGATAAGTAGTTTGAATTAGCCAAACTGTATTCAATCATTTCAGCAATATCACTCACGTAATGAATAACAAATACTAGTGATATAGCTACTGTAGCCAAATCAAATTCATATAAACCTAGCTTAAATTCTAAACTGTCTTATTCAAAAAACACTTGTTTTTCATTTCAGTTGTTTTCTGTGTAGTAATTGTGTTAAAAAATGGACTGAGATGTATATACATCGTGTATTCAAATATAATAAATTTGTTTACTGTAGTTCAGACTTTTTCTAAGTCGTTTTTCCTTTCCTTTTCACCTCTCTCTGTACGTTTTGTGTTATATATAATTCTGATGCTACTCAACGAAGTTGAGTGTGTGGTCATTGTTTCATTTTTCTATTACGTGAATCAAAAAGCGATTTCGTTGGGCACAACACGTGAAAAAAAAGTATCATTTTACTTAGACTTATCTTAAATAATTCAAATTAAGAACTTATATAAAAACCTCCGCCAGCACATATATGTGAAATACCTTGTTTGATAAAACGTAGTGCTTTTCTTTGTTTTCGTTAAAATACTTACGTAGTTATGGCTAAAACCTGAAATGTATTGGAAAATTAACTTTTTTTCGGTTATTTTTTTATTTTATGTTAGTAACTTACTTGTTTCCTCTTCCGGTTGTGCGTGTGCTCAAATCTGGCTTTAACGTCTTCCAGATGTTGTGTTAGTTTCTCTCTGTTTTCTTCGTCCTTGGCTATCGTTACATAAGCCCGCCAATTAGAAGAATCGAACCCCCAGTGGCACGTGCGATTTTCTTTTGCATGATGTGCGTGGCAAACAAAGATCTCGGGGCTCATAACCCCGTGGCACTCCGTGCATTCAATGCACCTAGCTGAAGGAGTGGTGTAAAGGTCAGGGACAAGCACCCCCGCGCACTTTCCGAAACATCGGTGTACAATTCGGAATTTAAGCAAATGCTTTTCCCGAACACCACTCTCTGCTTGTGGTAAAACTGCGTATCGCAAAGTTGAACATAGTCTTTCAGCGTCCGTTTTTGTGATGAGGCCACAGCTAGGCGCATTAAGGGGCAAAACGCCTGTAACTTTCAGAATCTCTAGTTGTTCTGGAGTGCAACGAGAACAGAAAATATGAAGTTCGTCACAAACACTGTTGATCTGTTGTAAACTGAAATCCTTGAGAACAGTGTTCAATATCTGCGGTAGACAGAGTCGATTTTCACCACCCACATTGAAACATGAAATGTTTTCTCCTTCCAAGATGGTTTCAGATCTTTCGCAGCGGCTGCGATCCGGTGGTGTAAAAATTGGAGGTAGCTGAATGGGGAAAGGGGGAGGCATCAGAAAAGGTTCATAATAAGATTCAGACGATTCATTTGGTACAGATTTTACAACAGGAGAAACAGATGGTGAGCTATTTCCCGAAATATCTAACTTGGGATGTGTAACCGTACATCGGTTTTTTTCCGCTGTCCCTGCAGTATCCCACGTAGCCATGAAAGTATCAGGTCCTTGTAAGCTAGCCGGCGCAGCGGCCTGATAACTCTTTAAAACTTTTTTTAAATGTGGAGTATAAGACGGTTCTTCCATGTCGATCAATTATCACACTGTCCACTTCACTAAATTACAAATCACACACACAAAAAAAACTAAACTTCTCTTTTAGTTATCATCGGCAAATACTGCGTTCGATAATCGGTTGTATGTTGCTCGTTGATCAGCGAATGTGTGGCTAGTCGTCTTTCCTCTCCCTTAAAGACCATGCAGACGTAAGTGCCTTCCAGGCAAACCTCAAGTACTGTACACACTAGAGTTTACAGTCACGGTTTTGTACCATATCCCCTACACTTCAAAATAATGTAAGCATTGGATATCTTGTCTCGAAATGATATTTATCTTTCGCAAACTGCCTTTTGAGTTGTTAGGGCATGCATGTAGTAGACTCGTAATTCCACAGTATGCGCGCGCTTATTCGTTTCTAACCAGCACGCTACACACACACACTCTTTTATCGCAGGTAACGTCAGGTCACGTGATCTGGAGATGTATACTAACTTGCTCTCAGTTTGCTGTTGGAAGGGGTAAAGGCCAAGAACGCAAAAGAGAAATTACAAAACGTTTCATTAAAACACAGAAACTAACAGTCTGGAGCAATCATTGTTAAATAGTTACGTGCACAAAGTCTTATATAAAAAGTAGTGAACGGGATTTATAATAATTTAATAAAATCAAAAATCATGATAATTATGGTGATATTTTTATTGGAATGACACATCTCAAGCCAAAAATGTGCGTGATAAATTATCAAACATAATGGTTTCTCTCTTTAAAAAAAAGGACTAGTAGTAAACAAATGACTTCATTTTCTATCTACCTAGTGTTGTATTCATGATGTTAGAAAAACACGTAGGTTCAAAAAGTCTTGATAGAAATGAATAAAAACCCTATAACCCGAGCGACTTAGAAAGGTGGGCCTTTCTTCTTCAGGGGCAAACTAATGTATTCAGTTAGTTTCAAACTTAACAGTATGTACAAATACTAGTATACGTTAAATTAGCACACACTACTGAAAATCAAAACAAACGTGATAATTAAATCTATTAGAAACGTGTCGTTTCGGTAAATCGGGAAAGATTTCACTCTAGCAGAACAGTTCAAATTGTATTAACAACAGAGATTAAACAAACAAAATAAGTCAATGTAATGAATATAATTCATAATTTCTAATTGATGTTTAAAAGTTTTATCAATCTGTTAATAACAGAAGAGAAGTTAGGAATATAAGACATCCAGAAAATTTAAAACAATTCCGGGTAATATTTGTTTATTTTTCTTTCTAAATATTGACGTTTTATTTTGTTTGGAGAATTAAATAGATTTACAATTAGAAATGGGTTTTTATGTAATTACTGTTATTTTAATCTAGTGACGTAATTATGAATATAAACTTCTGAGTGAAAGTAAAGAAGAGTGTATAATAATATGCCTGCCACACTATATCGTGGCGACGAGGCCTTTCGCTTAATACCATGGCACTTCAGGCCAACTGGGATACGACAGTCACAGTAGTGATTGTGATACAATTTATATTAGCAAATCGCTTGTCAACAGCTTTTACGGTGTAATAGCATTTGTATATAATGTAATCAACAGTCACGAGACTGCTGAGGAACTGAGAGAATTGTTTGTTTGTTTTTCATTAAGACAGTGAAATGTATTCACGTGAATAATTTTACCTCGTTATCTAACTAAAATCTGTGTATTTACTTTTGGGCATGGTGTGATAGATGAAAATCTGCTTTTATTACTATCGTTGTTACTTCATCTTTGTTTACTGTGTCATCGTCTATTCCAGCATGCAGTTGGATAATTAATAGCCATATTTGCAGAGCAACAACGGGACTTTATTCTCCTTTGGACAGATAACTGACCAAGCTAATATTTTTTGTATTCTGGACAGGAAACATCCTATTTAATATGTAGGATCTATAACGATGTTACACGGCATCATCACACTACATCTCCCATATGTTCCTGAGGTCTATCTGGCAAAATTGGATAAATTTACCAGAAACATCAGCTCACCAGTTACATAGGAGAAAATGACTAATAAGCTTTGCAGTATGTCCATTCAGAGGATCCTAATGCCGAAACCTTTGATATGTATGCAAAACCGCCTTGACATAGTAAGAGCATGTCATCTCCATTCCCGTCTACTTTATCCTCATTTGCCAAAACAATGTTTGGGTTGACTGGCCCAATTGGTAACGTTACGAGGAGGTTCTGATATACCACAAGCTATACCAGCGCTCTGGCTACTCGTGTATCAACTAAGAACTCTATCTCTCACACTTGTATCCACAGACACACACCAATACCCACAAAGTCCCGATAGTTGGACAAATCACCACACTTGTCGGTGAAAGTTGTTCATTGCAGTCCCTCAAGTCAGTGGTCAGTTATTTTTCTGGAGCTGTAGCAACACCATGCGCTAACTGCATTTATTAAACCATTGGTCAAAATTATAGATTTTTCACTTCCTGCTCGGCAAGATTTGGGTAGCTCACTCAAAAGTGGTCAAAATTTTCAATACAAAGCAGATGTTCCACTTCTCCCTTTGAAGGTAACGCTCTGGCAGAGGCTTGAGCAACATAACTGGTGGTATATAAATAATGAGAGGAACATGACAGTCACGCCCATTCACCGGATACCAATGTGATTAACCCTTGGCTGAGTGTGACTTGAGTGCCTGAGTAAAAAAAAATATTTGGGGTGAGGTCACTGCGACTGCTGCTACAGGCTTCTTCCTCTCTTGCAACTACTGTGATGATCCTCTGTCATCTGTGTTTCCCTCATAATAAGAGCACTTCTCAAGGGAAAAGCATAGACAATTGGTCAGGGTTCACTATACATCGGTGGCTCTTCTTCCTGTGTCATCAGCTGTAACAACATAAAAGTCATGGATCTTTGCAGCATTGGAAAAAGTGCCATGTTCGGAAGAGAACTTCTGCTAGACCAAACAGCTCTCTTTGAAAACCATTTACTCTCCGTGACCAACTCTCTCTCTCTCTTTGTCATAAGTCTTTCTAGTTGTAGTAAATGTCATTTCCCTCAACCAAGAAGCTGTATTAAACTTTAACCGCAAGAGTTCAAGACAAAGGCAGTACACAGCTCAAAGAAATAGCCAACTCTGCAGTATGACATCCTATGTTCACAGCACCAACACTTTCTCTTTCCTTAATAACGAGAGATTCAGTCAAGATACCAGTAATGAAGTAATGTTATATCTCTAGGTAACTGAGTTGTGGGAATAGATGGCAGCATGCAAAGTGAAACACCAATGAACTATATAGTAATATATATATATATATATACAAGTAAGACACAAAATCAATGTATGTGTTTGATTTTGGCATGAGACAGTCACTTCTACTGGATATTTTATGTTAAACTGCTTAATTTATGTACCAGACTGACTAAATCCAGTATTCTTTACTTTTCAAGAAATATTCAGAGTGACTAATGCATCATGTAACTGATCATGCTCATTAAAATATAGTTGAGGCTGTAACTTCAAAATATCACTTAAAACACCACTGAATGACACGACTGTTTACATCCTTGCACAACATGTGGTACTACAGCAATACTTACCATGTCCAGAACAGGTATTATCCACTCTAGAATAACAAAAAAAACAAAGACAACTAGAACGAAATCAGCTACATGACTTTCTTAACCATGTGATATGTGAAACCTGCGCCTCTACAGAATAAATAAAAGATTCTGAATAAATACTATAATATCAGAAAAAGATAGAACTGCATGCTATCTTCAACTACAACATGTATAGAAACATAGTAATGAATTGAGTAATTAATATATTGATCTGAGATGGAGAATTACAACTTGTTTTCATGCTGCTATATAGTTTTTCAATGCACGATTGTAGAATATTGTTCCAAGTATTCTATGTTACTTCCTACAATTAAGTCAGGTTGTTTGGGTGCATATTTTTACCTCCTCAGTTTCTGTATAAGTCTATGCAGTCAAAATAATTTTCTTATCGGGATTTTGTGTAACCAAAGCCATTACTGTGAGTGTTCCATCTATTTCATGCTTGGAATCATTGTCTTGTTGGAAGATGAATGAATCCCTTTCCTAATGATTAGGATTCACGAGGGAATGGCATGACGGATCAGAATCTGTTGTATTTGTCAGAAGTCAGGGTGCCATCAGTTTTGTGTAAATCAAACTGGTCTCCCACCATGCTTCACAGTATATGTTGTTTGTACCACTGAATATCGAACCATTCTCCTGTTTGCCATCAAACAAAATGTGGTTGATTGCTTCTAAATAATTCTAACTTGAATTCATTTGTAAATAGCATTTTGACCATTCCACTGTTTGTGCTGTTATTTTCGTTTCGTCTTTTGATTCGGTTACCTCTTCTTAACACCAGTTTAGGAGCAGCTATACGTCCATCGAAAACACATATGCTGGTTTATTTAATTTCAAGGTAACATTAACGCCTGTATTTAAAGCAAGCTCCTTAGAAAGATCTGTAATCGAATGTTGACTGTCTCATAAATAACGTACTCTCGAAATACTTAACATGATTTTTGGGATGTTTAAGTTTTTACCTCAAAAGCTTCTACTACTAATAGTACTAATTGTATACATACCTTTTTTCAGAACTTTGCATACAGTTTCTTCAGATACTTGGAACCTTGCTTTAATTTTTAGTATGCAGACTCTTTGACCATCCAAAACTTTAACTTCCATTATTTTCTTTCCATGCGATATTTCAGCCCTCGAATTCACGAATGAATTACACCACTACTACTGGGAATAATATGACTACCTGTACTTTTTTTAGGCTTTATAGTGGTGTGGCATTGTCTGATTGGTTGGATAACGACCAGTCACAGTGTAAACTATCAACACATAATTGAACTCTGGTATAGTTGTCATTTCCATAATATTTTTTTCTTACACTCTTTTCCCTCACAATTTTCATAACTATTTACAATGCTCTACATATTTACTTACAGCAAAAAACTACTCCCATCCCCATTTAATAGTGGTAGATGGTCTTCAACAATGTTGTAATGGGCCTGTCCTTCAATTAAAACTTTTTTATACTTTCTGGGTCTTTTCGAGATCTAACTGATCATGTATCTCGTGCAAATGTCGACTTATTTGTATATATTCATCTCAGACCTATTCCCTCTGTTGGTTCTTTTCTCATGAAAACTGCCTGAACCCGACAGTCATGACACAAGTGCAATATTTCAGACAAGTCAAGATTGCTTGAGAGTCAGGTAGGTGGTGATGTAGGGAGATTCTAAATTATCTTCTGAGCTAAACCATTATTGCCAAAATGTCTAAATCCCTCCAGTATGTACCACAAATTTTGAAAAATAATAACATTTTTAAATCCAAATACTTCTTTCAATAC